AATATAGTGAGGAACTCTAACATGTCTTTCCGTAATTTCATCTCTCAAATTATTATAAACAGATGGATGTTGATCCTCTCTCCATGAATTTCTCTTCTGTCCAAGAACTAATTGTGGTATCGAATATGGTGAAGTAACAATAATTCTACAATTATGCTTTTCTTTTAATTCTTTAAAACATTCATCCGAATTTTGATATTGCTTAATATTGATCCAATCTGTTGCTCCTTTTGCAACTCCTTTAGAAATTCCTTTTTTATCACTCATCGAGTCTGGATTTGAAATAATATGTAAATCATTCATTCCGAAACATTCAACAGTTCTAATGATGGCAGAAACATTTTGTGATGATTGAACATCTTCAAGAACCGGAATGATAAATCTTGTTCTCTTATCAAGAACATCCTTCATCATGGAGACTCTTCCTTCCTTTAGAAAATTGGAAAAGTAATTGATGAGTGAAGCTTTTTGTTCTTGAGTGTAGGGATAGGAGCGAATGAATTTTCTGAGAGCAGTCATTTTTTTGATTGAATTTTTGGTTTCGACAAAAGAATAAAACCAATTTGTGGCAATGTAACTTGGAACCGATTTCAATAGAAAATTTATTAAATTGATGTGATCCCCCTTAGCTCAGTCGGTAGAGCGTCAGACTGTTAATCTGCAGGTCGGTGGTTCGAGCCCACCAGGGGGAGATATCATTTTTTCTTTTCGGACCAACAAAAAAGTAAATTTTTATAATTAAATTAGTACTATTTAAGACAAAAAGACTACAGCACCACAGGTTCCCAAGTTGTCTCCAACCTCAGTACTGATGTGGCTCGACGATGCTTAACTTCTCAAATCGGACGGGATGAGGTGCATTCATCGTGATATGGCCGTAGCCATCAATAATCTAAATTCTTAGTATAATAACTTAAAAGTTACAGGTTGTAATTTGTTGTTAAATATTAATGATCACTGATTCAATTAGTATTTTGGACGGGAAGCCTGCCAGGAATATGGCGACAATCCCGCTACAGTCTTTGACTGTATGAACAGTGAAGGCAACGAAGACAGAATCTTGTTGGTTCAGTAAGGTTTTGTTGAAGAAATTTATAAGGTTGATCAACCTCGTATTTATTGAACATTAGACATGTTGAATAGCTTGATGCAAATTTTGGTTTCTTATTTTCTTTTCAATTCGAAATTGAAACTTCACCTTTGAATTATTTACTGAATTGAAGTTAATTTACATCTTTTTCAACTTGGTAACCTAATTTGTGGTGCTTCAGTATTATAATGTTCAATATCCTTCGTTGTTGATTTTAAGTTGGACTGGTTGAGGTGTATTCATCGTGGTAAGGCCACCCCATCTGTGAAATACCTTTCAATTTCCAATTCCTTTCGTGATCAAACAATTTTCTACTCAATTTGAATTAAATAATTCAAGTTTTTGAGCAAGTTATTCATCAGATGCAATTTTCCAAATTGAAAATTTTGATTACTACACTTGATTACCTTTGGTTCGTTAGTGCAACATCTCATCAAAGTACTGGAATATTTCACGATTCGTAAAATACATGAATCATCATTCTGATATCTTGATAGTTCTATCACTTTCAATATTCATTTCCATATGCATCCTCACCAACATCATATGCACATCCAACATTATATGTCTTCTTCCTCATCATCATTAGATTTTTTTCTCATATTAAATTGTGTAATTTCTGAATCATCATGTAATGCAGCTTCATCATGGAGTTACATGTGTTGAAAAGAGATTTTTGCTTAATGTTTGCCATCCTAACACATTCCAAATCAATGATAAGGTCACTGATTGTGAAAGTTTCTAACAGAGCTAGAGGGCGGGAATCCCCATAGTGGGAAAACTGTAAACCATTTAGCAGTATTATGTTCTGTATTGATACAACCCGTACTGAAAATCCTTTTTTGTCCATGAACATATTACAGCTTCTGTTAAAAATTGTTTCTACCCTTCCAGTAGACCCAACAGTTCATATGCAAATCAGCTGGTCG